AATTAAATATCCACAACACAAATACCCTTTTCTTACTCTAAATACAAATGACTTCAAGCCATAAAGCTCAATGACTTACAATTTGAAAATTTCTTTGGCCTCCATACAAATGCCAACACAAAGATGTATTCCCAGCTGGGTGGTGGTGGTGCACACCTTTAATCCCAGCACTCAGGAGGCAGAGGCAGGCGGATTTCTGAATTTGAGGCCAGCTGTCTACAGAGTGAGTTCCAGGACAGGCATAGCTGTACAGAGAAATCCTGTCTCGGAAAAAAAAGACAAAAAAATGCATCCCCACTTTGTCCACACATTATTTCCTGTTACTTTGTAAGCCCTTCCTACTGAGCTAAAGCCTGGCCTAACATGCTATTTTCTTGAAGTTCTCACCCTTTGGTTCTGAGAGTCTCCAAGAGAGTTGATTTTAGAACTGTATGTGGTGGCATGCACCCCCTAATCCCAGCACTTAAGTAGAAGCTGGAGGATCAGGAGCTCAAGGTCACCCTTGGCTACACTGTGAGTTGGAAGCCAGCCTGGGCTACATGAGACTGTACAAGAACTACAAAGACCCAAGTCAGCTGTTGTGTGCACCAGGCCTCTTCAGGAGCAGTTCTCTGTAGCTGTGTGTGTGCAGGCACCCCAAGAGGCTAGCACAAGGTGTCACATGCTCTGTAACTAGTTACAAGCAGTTTTAAGCCACCTGACCTGAGTGTTGGGAACTTGAACTTGGATCCTCTGGAAGAGCAGAAAGTGTTCTTTTTGGTTTTTTGAGACAGGGTTTCTCTGTATTGTTTTGGAACTCTCTCTGTAGACCAGGCTGGCCTCGAACTCACAGAGATCCACCTGTCTCAGCCTCCCGAGTGCTGGGATTAAAGGTGTGCACCACCAACGCCAGGCTGAAGGAAGTGTTCTTAACCACTGAGCTACCTCTCCAGTCCTGTTCTGGTATTCTGTGTCCCTCCTACATTAGTGCTCCTGTTTTCCAAGGAGATATATATATATATATATATATATATATATATATATATATATATATATATATATATATCTCCTCCTCTTTTTTTTGGGGGGGGTGTTGTGTCAGACCAAAGCTTCTTGAGAAATAATGTACAGGAGGCAGGGTTTCTGAGCCTGTATATGGCTGCCAACACCAGTGCATTTATTCTTTGCTCACTGGGTAGTCTAGCTGGTACAGAAACCTACTGGGCATGTCAATTAAGGAACAGGCCTCCGGTTGGCTACAATTTACACCAGTTCATGTTATTCTTGGACTAGAAGCAGCAAGCAGGGAGACAAAGCTGCCCAGGCACCCAGTTTCCTAGGTGAGACACAGGAAGCGGAGGGAGGAGCCAGCTGTGACTGAGCTGGCTACAGTCTGCTTTCTCAGTCCTGGCGCCACAGTGACCCTCTGCTCTTTGTTCCTTGTGTAGCTTTGGGGATAGCCTTGATTTCACAGGAGACAGATCCAACCTCTATGGGCAACTGTGGAATCGGCTTTCTATCGTCTCAAGTCGACCCACCTTCCATGAGGGATAGGGAGGCCCTAGCAGAGCCAGCCTCCCGTCCTGAGGGCCTGCCAGCTCTGAGGAGCACACCCAGCTGAGTCCTCAGGCTCCAGTCCCTCTGGCCTCCTTCCCACCAGGTGGCCATGAAGTGCTGGGTCTGCTCCCTGCCTCACGGGGTACCTTATCAGAATGAGCAAACAGCCCTGTCACTACCCCCAGCCCTTTCCTTTCCCTCAGAGAACCCATCACCCCTGACACAGTAGCTTTACAGTCAAGTATGATCTGACTGCTGTTCTGCGTCCATGCAGTTGGCTCGGGGGCAGAACGGAGGGAAGGGGGTGGGTGGCAGAGGGAGGGGCGACGCAAGGACGTGTCATTCAGCCCAACACCCCTGAATCTGAAGGACTGAGCGTGGTGGCTTGGGAAGGAAGGGAAACGCCTTATACCCTGGCCACCAACTCCAGGGGTGGCCCTCGGGTGTTTAATTCCTTTGCAACTCTGGGTTCCATGTGTCAAAAGCAGCCTGGAGCAGCCTGAGTGGTCCCTACAGGAGTGAGAGCTGCAGCAGGGCTAGAGTGAGAGGTCAGGCCAACACAGGCACAGGACCCTTGTGTGTGGCAGCCCTTCACTACTCCAGGCCAGCGGAAACAGTTAGCACACTATTTGCTGCTGTATGTACTCAATAAGGTAAAAGGCAAGCGATAAGGTCAGTAACACTGAGCAGGCCATGGCTGCTCAACTGAGGTGTGTAACGTCAGTCCATAGGAGGCAAGAGGTCAAAGGATCACCATGAGTTTGAGGCCAGCAAAGGCTATACAGCAAGACCTGTCGCCCAACAGAAATAAAAAGCAAGCAAGCTGGGTTGGGAGCCTGGCTAGTATACAAAGAGAGCAGACTCTGTGATGCAGCCTTAAGCTGCAGCTGAAATAAGGTGGGGCCAGCTGCATGGCTGGGTCTGTTGTTTCAAAGACAAGGACTCCAAGTATCCCAGGATGGCCTAGAACTCACCATATGGTCAGGGAGGACTGTGAGCTCCTGAGCCTCCCACATCTGCCTCCGGAGCACCAGGGTTACAAGCATGTGCCACCAAGCTCACTGTAGCAGTTTACCAAGGCTTCCTGAATGCTAGGCAAGCACTCCAGCAGCCAAGCCATATCCCCAGCCCTACTCGGCCGGTTTATAAGCAGAGCTGTATCCAAGCGAAATAAAAGAAACAGAAACTGGCCAGGCGTTGGTGGCGCACGCCTTTAATCCCAGCACTCGGGAGGCAGAGGCAGGCGGATCTCTGTGAGTTCGAGGCCAGCCTGGTCTACAGAGTGAGTTCCAGGACAGCCTCCAAAACAATACAGAGAAACCCTGTCTCGAAAAAAACCAAAAAAAAAAAAAAAAAAAAAAAAAAAGTAACAGAAACTGTGCAATACTTACCAATCTCTACATGGCTGGCGCCAAGATGGGTCTCATCTTGTGTAGTACAATCCTCCAGCATATGCACATTCGGCCCCCTCTTAGCAGTGTGGGGAGATCTGAAGCTCAGCAGATTGAAGCAACAGGGCAGACAGAACCATTTCCTTGTATTTCATAAGGGGATTACGTCTCCTGACACCCCACCCCCCAAGGCTTCAGTACTGCCATACAACTAACCAGCCAGAATGGGGAGGAGGGAGGTGTCAGGAGGAAGGGGTGAATTAACCACAGCCAGGCTGAGCTGCGGGGTGTTGCCCCCTCAGCTACTACCAGAAGAAGCTTAAGGAAGGCACCTCCAAGACCAGAGACGTGGAATCGACTGTGAGCGGGCTACGGTCGAGGAAGAAGCTTCCTTACAATTCTCAGCAAGTAGAGAGCTTAGAGGTCCCAGAACGAAGGGTCATCAGGATCCTGAACCGGCTGAAGCAGCAGAACTATGGTGAGGGCCAGTGAGGAGCCTGGGCTGGCAAGCAGAACCCTGTCCGTGTGGCTGGATTCCCCCAGATGTAGCCCGGGGCTCAGCTGGGTGGGAACCATTACCAAACAGGGCTGGTCCACATCACCCAACATCAGCTCCATGCTTTGGATCCTACCTTCCTGCCTTATCGCTGAGACATGGCCGGCTCAAGAACTACTGTGAGAGGCCACCGGAGTCAGCTCCACTACAAGGCCCTTTGTAGGTGTGTCCTACAATCACCCCACTTGACAGAAATGAGAACCAAGGGAATCTCAGTGACTTCCCCAGCTAGTATGCTGGCAAGGGCACCCCCAAATGTTGTGGTTGACCATTCTCCTGGGCAAGCTATGGCCAGTCTTTACTGTGTGCTCAGGCTCCCACACACACGTCATCTACTGTGCAGTGGGGACCAATACCTCCATCTTAGAGGCTCAGACATTAAGGATTATTATGAAGCAAACCTAGGGTTTCACCAGGCTGGCCCTCCTCTCTCTCATTCCCTCCTATCCCAGCTGCCAATCTACAGAGCCCCTATGCCCAGGTGCCCTGCATCCCACTCTGCCCGAGGCTGGAGAAGAAGGCGGTCCGTCGAAAGCAGGGTAGCCATAACCATCCTGTGCTGGATCAGTGTGTCTCTACAAGCATGGGCCCTGACCTCCATGGCCTCTTTTTCCAGTCAGGACAGCAAGGAAGCAGGTGGGTACTGAGGGCCAGGGACTCTCGGGCCCATCTATTACCCCTGGCCTGACTGGGGAATCCATCTTTCAAAGAGACTATGCTGGGAAACTACTTACTCCAGGGAGGATGGATGGACAGACAAGAAAGTAACCTTTGTTGAAAGCCTGGGTACCAGACGGGCAATTTCAGACACCTGAGCATTTCACAGCAGTCCTGAGCCTATCATCCTTAGGATGGTGTTGCTCCCCCGTTTCTCAAGCATGGGAACCCCTTGGCTTTTTTCTGAATTATGGGATGCTTAGAAACTGGGACTTGAGATCAGCTCCCCAAGCCTAACTTCTGGCTCTACTTCTAACAATTGCCTCTCCCTGACTATATGGGATGGCTTGTGAACCTGGCAGGACTACAGGGAAAGGGCCAAATATGCTCCATCTTTCTGCCCGACTCTCCTCCCCAGGGAACACAGCTCTGACAGCAGAAAGTGGCTTAACTCCGTGCCAGCCCGAACCCACTGACTGTCTGGAATTGCAGCTCCAGAAGGTCAAGACCTACAGACAGCTGGGCTGTGGGACAGGGCCTGGCTTTGGGAGTTTGCTTTCATGGCCTGGTAAGCCAATAAACACCAAGAACCTCAGCTTTTTTTATCTGATGTCAGTGAAGGCCCCGTTTTCACCATCCTGTATGACTTATAGAGCTCCAGCAGGCCCTCAGGTTAGAAATTCTTGGGGAGTTCTGTCTCCCTACTCAAGACGTGGGAGCCCTACAGTGGTGGACTTGAGCCAAGCACTCCAGAAAGCCTCAGCCTCTGAGAGCAGCTGACCTCTACAAGAGCAGGAACCCCCAGGGCTGGATAAGCAACCACAGTATGAGACAGGAAGCCAGAAATGAGCACAAATGTCTGACAAGTTTAAAACATGTATTTAAAATACAATTTATAAAATGCTTAATCTGCCGACTCAGGAGCCCACGGTGGGGGTTAGGGTGGGGAGCTGCCTGCTACACCAGCAGAGCGAGACTGCAGGGTGCGGCCCTCCCTCCCAGTCCCTTCTGTACAGATGCCCAAGGGTCCCCCCTGGGTCATATGATCAGAGCAGGACCCCAGAGGTTTTCTTGAGTCTCTGCTTACCAGGGAGACTGGATACAGCCCTGCCGGCCCATCCCTGAGCAGAGCACCCCCAGACGGGGCAGAGCAGGGTATGGCAGGGCAGGACAGGGCTGAGCGGGACAGGTGGGCTCTGGAAGGGGCTGATGGCAGCAGATAGGGTGTTGCCTCCTGCCTGCAGGTGGGGAGCACCCTGACTGAGGGGACTGAGAAGGGCTGGTCACCAGACCTGGACCCCCAGCTCCTTTGGTTATAGGCTGACATCAGAGTAGTGGCTCATGGGAAGCGGTTAGCTAGGAGGGCTGAGGCCTGGCTCGTGGTTCCAGGAAGAGCTGGGGGAAGGGACAGTACCATGAAGACAGACAAAGGGGGCAGCAGCCTCAGGTGCCTGCCCCTCATCCCCCTGGGGATTTCCAAGCCAAAGCCTGCAACTTAAGACAGGAAGAAAAGAAAAGAAAAGCACTTATGGAGTTACAGACAACTACAAAAAAAAAGGGGGGGGGGGGGGGGGGAGAAAACAATAAACCACATACACACACACACAAAAAACCTCACACACACACACACACACTCCAAACCGTTTCCCATGCCCTCCCCCCTCCCCCAACACCAGTCTGTTTCCTTTCTTTCCTTCTTTCTCTCATTATGCCAGCCGCCTCTCCATCTAGGAGGCCAAGTGCAAGACTGCCTGCCGGTGGGCAGGAGCAGGGACACTTGGCAGGACCTTCTTTGGCCAGAGTGAAATGGAGAGCCACTCCTGCAAGCTCTCAGAAAGCAGACACCAGCTATCCTTAGCTCCCACTAGAGGGGGGTGGGGCAAGCAGGGTTTCTGCACCCTTCTCTACAGAAAGCACAGTCTGTCCGCCAACCACAAGCCACTAGCCCAGTGGTGGGCCCTAGGCTATGAGCTAGCAGCGAACTCCTGCCCGTCCTGCACGTCCTGCATGTCCTGGGGTTAGCCAACCCCCTGCTGAGCCTCTGTCCCGTGTGCTCACAGAAGGTCCCTGGTCTCAGGAAGCTCCAGGGTTGTGTTGTGGGCCATTGCTACAGGGCATAAGCCAGGGAACCGAAGGTGGTGGGATTCTGCAAAACTCAGGTCACCACCTTGGCCACAAAAGCTGCCCTAATCTACACCACAGCACCCACTCCCAAACCTGTGTGCTGGCCAGGAGAGGGGAGGCCGTCAGGCTGGCTGAGGGATAAGGCGAAATGCACGGGAAAGACTATGAAGCCTGAGAGCACCCGGTGGGACACAGCTGCCCTCTCAAGCCTCTCCCCACCTAGAGTCAAAGCAAATCTCCAGGCTCAGGGACAGAAATGGTCTTCATACCAGCCTCGTTCTGATAAGAAGGGGAAGGGCAGCAGAGGCCTCTGAGAAACCTACCAACCATCTGCCTCTGCAATGCTAAGTTTTTCTTTCCCCAACTCTTCTCCAACTGTTCTACCCCTATGGTACTCATTTCACCCGGGAAATGTACCAGGCATAGTTTCTGAGCCAGGGCTATCAACAGATGTGGCACGCCACATGTCCTTAAACGTTCCAGTCTGTCTACCTCTGACCACACCAGCAGAGGCCTGGAGTTCTGAGCCAGACTCTCCTGGGCTTGCGCTGACAGCAGACACTGGACAAATGCCACCCCTGCCTGCTCTGAGCCCAGAGTACAGTCTCCTCTCCCACACCCCCTGCCTGCTCTGAGCCCAGAGTACAGTCTCCTCTCCCACTCTCCCTGCCCTGCCCACCTCTAGAAGCAGCAAACCTGGCTGGTAGGGAGTCACCCTGAGGGGTCTGGGAAGGGGAGACCCGTCACTTTCCCCATTTCCCACAATACTAGAGGTGGGGTTGGCACCCTTCCCCAGGCTCTCTGAGCTGTCTGTAGGCAACTTAGCTGGGACTCAGCTGGAGGAAGGCGATATAGGCACAGTGCTCATCTACTGGCGGCTCTGGAGCCCTGCCTTTTCTGGGCAGCAGTAGGAATACAGAAGCTAAGCTCACCAAAATCCTATTGGTTAATGTTTCCAGCAAATTTCCTAGAAACATCTTTAAGTGACTACCAAACTACCCTTTCTCAATTAAAAATTCATTAAACTGCTAAAACCCCTTCCATGCACTTTTTCTTGCAAATCAGATATTTGTATAAACAAACAAAAATAGGAAGGAAAAAAAGGAAAGGATATTTTCAATGGAACTTACTTTTAAGTGATGGCGACATGCACTTGGGGTGGGTGGGGGCAGTTCTCATTTGTGTTTTGAAATCCCAAATTAATGAGCATGATAAACTTATTGCTGGCACTGGCTTTACCCCAAGTGGCCAAGTGGCACTGTCTGACCCTCTACTCTGAGTCCTGGGTAGGTTCCCCCAATCCTCCCCTAATCCCCACCCTTTCCCTTTCTATTGACTTGGGACAGCCCTTGTCAACATGCCAAACACAGTGGGAAGGGGGGGAGGCAGAGGTCACAGTGCATGGGGTTAAAGGTCACAGTGGGCGGAGCAAGGGGGATCACAGTGCAAGTAAGTCAGGTCGTTCCCTCTGCTCAAGTCCAGATGTCTGCCACGGCAGTGCAACCCATGGCAGACAATCCAGGAGGCGATGGTGGCGGCGGTGGCAGCAGCATCCTTTCTTGCCTGCATTTATCTGCGTTGTTTGAAGCCTTGTGACCCATCAGGACCCAAAGGCTGTCTGATCACATTACTGGGCTGTCTGCTGTCTTCAGGTTGGGAGATCCTGGTTGGCCTAAAGGAAAATAAGAGGAATGCCTTTAGGATATAAAAGATGCCCAAATCATTCTTGTGTGTGTGTGTGTGTGTGTGTTGTCTGATGAGTGTGGGGACGTGTGCACAGGTGCGTGTGTACTGCCAAAGACAGTCAGGTGGCCTCTATTGCTCTCCACTTTATTTTCCAAGACAGGGATTTACTGAATCTGGAACTGACTACATTGGCTGGCCAATGAGCTTAGGGATCCTCTAGCTCCTCCCACCCTCTGCCCCACACTGGGTGGAGGTTACAGTCACTTGTAGCTTTGCTTGGCTTTTATGAGGGTGCCAGGGATTCCAGCTGGGGGTCCTCAGGCTTGTGCTGCAGCACTCTCAGCCTCAAGTCCCTGAACCTTAAAACCAACCCATGGCTGAGGTTGGGGTCACCAGCTAACTGGAGGTACTGAGCTCAGCCTACTTCTTTGGCAAGCGGACTGGGGACATTTTCCACTTTGGCAGGTCCCTGTGGGAAGGAGGTAGTGGTCCACAGTCCACGTTAATCTAGCAATTACAGCATTGCGCCCCTCCCCCGCCCTCTCATTTGCCACTACTTATCTGTAAGTAGAGGGAACGTGTACACCCCTTCCCTTGGAGGGAGGAGTGGCCATGGGCAGCACGTCTTCCACAGAACCACCAGTGTTGGGCCCCTAACTACGCGCTTAGGAGCGAGCTGGCACCCACCTGTCTGCCTCCTGCTTCCCTCCAAACCACGAGGCTAGCTGCTGACTCCTAGTACTAGAGAAGACAGAAGGAAATGGACTTTTCCCACTCCAGACAGGTGCAGACTAAGAGGAGAAAACAGAATGGATGTTCCTTCAAAACAACGACAGCACTGGACATGGTGGCACATGCCTGTGACAGTGCCAGGGAGACAGAAGGACAACCCTAAGTGCAAGGCTAGCTGGGCTACACTGAATTCTACGCCAGCATGTGAGAACCCGGTTTCAAAAAGCCAAAAGGCAAACCAAAACAGCACTAAGAAAGGACAGACAAGTAACTCAATCCAGGCCCAGAACAGCAAGTCAAAGACAGCTTCAGGGTGGAGGACTGGAGCCAAGTTCAAGGCAGGCTGCCTGCCCACCAGTCTAGAAGCCAACAGTGCAGTCCCCAACACGAGGGAGAAGAGAAGGAGAAACAGTCTGGTGTGGTGTGGTTGGCTGTAACCCTACCACTGGAGAGGCAGAGGCAGGAGGACTGCCAGGCCAGCCTAGGCTACAGGGTGAAACTGTCTCAAAAGACAAAAATCATGGGCCGGACACGTGCCATAGCATGTATGAAGTCCTAGGTTTGATTCCAGTTCTGTGTAAACCAGGTGAGGTGGTACACGCCTGGAATCCCAGCAGTCAGGAGGCAGAGACGAAAGGATCAGCATTCAAGGTTATCCTTCCTATAGTAGTGACTTTGATGCTACCCTGAGCTACATGAGACCCTGCCCCAAAAATAGGCTTTTGTGTGTTCATGTGTGCAATGTGCATGCCAACATTTGGTTTTTCCTCAATCTTCATATTTTCTTTTTACAAAAATCTTAAATCTAGCATGAGCTCTAACTGGTCTTAATAATAAAGACCCAGAGTCAGATATTGGAATTACTACTGAAGATAAGAGAAGCAAAGCAGTCAGCCACTAGAGTTCTTACCTCTACCAATGCTCGGACCAAAGGGGCGATCCTGACTTAAGACTGCACTGTTCCTCAGACTGCACTGAGCTCCTGTCTCCTCCTGTCTTACAGTCCTCTCTACCCAGCCATATCCCTTCCTGTATCCACCTTCCTAGTGCTGGGATTAAAGGCATGTGACTACAAGTGCTGGGATCACCTTTGTGTGAGCTCTGTTTCTCTTTTAGACTGAATCAATTTCACGTAGCCAAGGGTGGCCTTGAACTAACAGAGATCCATCTACCTCTGTCTCACCAGTGCTGGGATTAAAGGTGTGTGCCACCAGTGCCTGGCTTCTATGGCTAACTAGTGTGGCTAGCTTTGCACTCTGATCTTCAGGCAGGCTTTGTTTGTTAGAACAAACAAAATATCACCACACTTAAACTTACTGTGTGTATATACACCAGTACAAGAGAATCCCAAAGGCTGAGAATATGGAGGCCAGAGGTCAACCTGCAGGGGCTGGTTCTCTCTCCACCCTGAGGGTTCCAGGGACTGAACTCAGGCAGTCAGACTTGGCAGCAAACGCCCTTACCCCCAGCTAAGCCACCTCAGCAGCCTGTGCCCAGCTTTTACGTGGGCACTAGGATCCAAACTCAGGTCCCACATGCTTGTGCTAAAGCGTTCTCCGGACTGAGCCACGTCTCCAACCTCCTAAAGCAGGTTTTGTTTTGTTTTGTTTTATTTTTTTATTTTTTATTTTTTATTTTTTCGAGACAAGAGTTTCTCTGTGTAGCTTCAGCTATCCTGGAACTCATTCTATAGACCAGGCTAGCCTTGAACTCAACAGAGATCTGTCTGCCTTTTCCTCCCTGGTGCTAGGATTAAAGGCGTGCATCACCACTGCTTGGCTCCAAAGACAGTTTTAACAAATACTATGTTATCAGAAAGTACCACACATAATTCAAATCTAAAAGTTTTTAAAATGAAAATATCAAAATTACAGCAAAAATTCACTTGGGGCCGCTGGAGACTCAAGCACCAATACTGAACTTTTTTCCTGGGGTCTTGGGCAGAGCTCAGCACCTTATGGCCATTTGCTCGCCAGCAAGCATACGCCCAATGGCTGACAGAGCCTGAGTCAAAGCCCATACACTGTGGAGGTGGCCCATCCACTAACCACACTTAACACCCGACAGCACCCCTAGGCTGGAAAGGGCTTTGCTAGTACAGCACTTGCCTCAAGCTGAGGACCTCAGTTTGATTCCCAGAACCCACATAAAGGTACCAAGCAGACTGGTGTGGGGCACATTCTACCTGTCCCTCCCACTGCCCTGCCACTGCTGGCAGCCATACTCACCTGTCAAGGATGGGTTTCTCCTGCTCCTCCTCGGGGCTGGCACTGCCCAGGATCCGTCTCCGGGCCTCTGCGTACTCTGCCTCCCGCTGGGCTAGGGACTTGACAGGAAGAGCTGGCCTGCTGGTAGAGTTGGGGCTGCTGACCACGCCGTTGCTGGTGGGCCTCTTGAGGATGCGGATCTGTGGAGGGGGCCCCGTGGGAAGGCTATCGTCTTGAATCACAATGGGCACTTTGGGAGGAGATCTGGATTTCCTGCTGACAAAGAGCAGATACAGCTTCACAAATCCCACAGAACCAGAAGTCCATCAAGTCCCACACCCGCCTCCTCACTGTCTTCTCCCTCCCTCCTACTAGTGTTCACCTGGCCCATACACAGACAATTACACTCCCACTCCTCAAGCAGGATGCCAGCAGCCTTGCCACTAGCTCTGCAGGGCACAGACACTGCTCCACAGCGCAAACTCTGCAGGGGCCAGCTCACCACCTAGTGTCCTGGAACTTCTCCATGTGCATCACAGGCCCAGCAAGCACCGTTTGGCACTTGAAGCCAAAACATTCCACACCCAAAATTCAACGACTTTGATGAAAACCCCAGCTTCCTTATACAGACCAGAGTATGAAAGGCTGGTGAGCTGGGAACCTCTCTGTCCAGGTCTCCCACCGCGTGTGCTCAAAATAAGACAACACACCGGCACCTGCTATGCCACGCTATCTGGCAACAAGCAAGACAGGATTTACCAAACTCTCTCTGCCTTCTGGCCAATGACCTGTGCCTTCCAGACAGGCTGCACCAGACAAGCAAGTCACCTCCACACAAGCCTTTGAACAGAGAAATCTCCCTCATCAGGGTTCTCTGCTCTGTTGGGCAGCGGCGGGGCTAGGGTGAAGGCCGATCCTAGAAACAGTGCTTGGCAGTGCTCAAAAGAGAAGCACTGTCCAAGGTTAGTGCACGTGCACATCCATGCCAGGGGGCCACAGCACAGTGACATTCCTCAAACAAAGAAGCCAACACCACCAGGCGGGAGGACACAGAAGCCACAGACGAGAACAGGAGCAAGGCAGGGTGACCATCCACGCCAGCCACCAAGGCCACCGCAGCCCTGTCAATCAGCTCTTGCTCACAACCACTGAGACCTTTGCCAAAGCCTGAGTTGTCAGGAAGGGTGGGAGGGTCCTGGGTGGGTGAAGGTAGCATGGAAAGGGGCCTGTGACCATAGGGAGTAGCTCCTGGGAAGAGTAAAGGAGTCATCAGTCTGATCACAACATCAGGGAGTCTGGAAGGTCAGTGTGGGGCAGGGGCCTCCCAGAATCCCCTGGGGAAGTGAATGTAGCCAGTTCTACTCTGTTGCTTGTCACTAAGTCCAAAGTCACCCACTCTGAAACCCGCTTCCCATGCTGCATGGATGTGAGAAAGCAATAAAGGTCTCCCAAGGATCTCCTAGAATCCTTCCTTCCAAGATACCCATGATACCCTAAACTGCACGTCACCAAGATCACAGAGAAATCATCTGTCCAAACTCTTCATTACAAAAGACACCAATGTCCAAAGGGAGAAACAACTCACCACACACCTCAGAGCCACTGGGGCACAATCACACCTATACCCAAATCTTGCAACTTTCACCTTCCCTCTTTCAATGAGATGACCTCATACAGGGCCCACAGAGGCTGGGAGTTGGTGTAACACCTAGCCTCATCCCAAAGCCTCAATCCAGTGTCCTCGTCTAGTGGGAGGGAAGAGCTAGCTGCCCAGGAGCCTAACCTTCGAAGGCTACCAGCCAGCTGGAGAACACTGCCTGCCCAGCTCTCCAGTGGCAGAGAGCATGAGTCCTCATGCCAGACATCAGCCTTACCTCTCCTTTTGTGTGATCTTCAGTTTTTTTTCCAACCGTCTGTCTATTTCCTAGAGGAAAAAAATGTATATAAAAGTGGAAAAAAAATCTCTCTCAAATAAAACCTTAAGCCTCTATTTTTCCAAGCAAAGGGCAGTGTCCTCTCTCTAGCCAGGGACATGGCTGTGTCCTCCAACTAGACCTGAGGTTTGGGGACCTGGCTCCCACTGCAGGTCCATCTCCCCTTAGTCCCATGACCGCAATAATAGTTCTGGACCTCATCATTAGGCTGGGTTCTTGGCAAAGCCTCCTGCCCATCTCCTGTTCTGTCCTTCAGAGTCACTCCAACCACTCCAACTTTCTCAATGCATACCTAACCAAGTCATGTCCCCACTCTACTGCTCGCAGGACCACATCCGAGCTCTGCGTCTCCCGTATCTCTATTCTACTGCCCCTACAACAGGACTGAACTGTCTGTCAGTCCCCAGAACCCAATGAGCTACCCCACTTGTCTGCAGCACCCTCAGGCCCTGTACAACCCAGACGCCTCGCCTCCTCTCCCTTGCAGTCTTCTCTGATCCCAGCGGTGCACTGAGGACCTGCTCCTGGGGCTGGTCTCCCTTTTACAGCCCTTCCCAGCCACACTCGTCAACTGGCTCAGAATCCAGTTTGTACTGACACAGGCTTTCTGTGGTCAGCACTTAGGGAAAGGGGGTAAGAGAGAAGCTTGCTGTCTGTCTCCAAAGAGGACCCAGGGAATCTGAGGGTGAACCAGAGGGAAGACTTCTCACAAAACCTGATTACCACAAAGTCAGCACTGTAGAAAAAGGTAAGAGTAAGCCCGAGGATGAACAGGTGAGACCATCATCCCACACATCAGGACCTCAGCCTGGGGGAATCCTCTAATCTAGCACCAGGGATTCCAGATAGCTGCATGTGAAGTAGAGGCAGGCACAGAGCTAAGGCTCAAACCTCTAGGCTCTGTGTGTCCCACTCTCTGAGGACCAGCTCCTGGAGGGAAAGGGACTATGCACTCAGCAAGTGTTTCTCTGGAGAGGGCGCTCAGCCACAGGTGATTCTGCCTGAGGGGCACCTGGCAAGGTTAAGACTATGGTGGGGGTGAGGTGAGGGCTGCTACTGGGTGGAGACTGCAATTTAGGGCAGCCTCCTCGGTGAGGAACAGTTCCCAAAGTCAATGGTGCCCAGGCTGGAGACCCTGTTTCTAAGACACAAGAAAGCTGGTGTCTTGGCACACATCCACAATCCCATCCATGCCAGCCACTAGGCCACCCCGGCCCTGTCAATCAGCTCTTTCTCACAACCACTGAGACCTCTGCCAGAGCCTGGGTTGTCGGGAAGGGTGGAAGGGTCCTGGGAAGGTGAGGGTAGCATGGAAAGAGGCCTGTGACTATAGGGTAAAAAGAGGCTGCAGTCATCAGTCTGATCACAACATCAGGGAGTCTGGAAAGCCACTGTGGAGCAGGGGCCTCCCAGAACCCCCTGAGGGAGTGAATGTAGCCAGTTAAGGAGTTCAAAGGCCACATTCTAATCCCCAGCCACAATGACAATTCCTGGGGGGTTGGGGGCGGGCAGCGCTTTGATCAGAATGGCTGTGCCCTATGAGGGAGGAGGCAGTTCAAGCTGGCCAGCTCCACCCGCATCATCTAAAGCTTCACTGATTCACCTAACTATTGCCTATGGGAAGAATCATTGTTTAGCAAACTGAACAGCTGACAGTCTTGAAGCGATCTTAAGTGTTCAATCCACTGGTTGAGTCATACAATCAGGTAAACTTTCTTTAATGGTGTCCTCTAGAAGGTTCCTTTCCTAATTTGTATCTCTTACAAACATACAAAGTTCTGCTACATTCAAGCACCAACACTGCCACTCATTTTAGGCAACATAATATACTGTGTTTGGGAGGCACCATCAGGTCCCTAGGGCACCTGGAAAGGCTAAAAAACCTTCTGCCCCAGCTGGAATACAGCTGTGCCCCATGAGACAAGTCAATGCACAAAAAGCCTACAGCAATGGTACACATAACTAGCACGCTCCTGACAGACACACACACTATACCAAGCACAGCTCCTGTCAGAATGGTATTAATTCTAGGAACTAACCTAACACAGTGTCATTTCAAGGGCAAATGCAATGTCTTACAGGGCAGCCTCTTTGTGAGCGTGCAGATGTCTTGGGGGAGAGGGGGCTGTGAGGTGCCCCTTAAGTCCAGAAGACATCAGATCCTTAGCAGCTGGAGCTACAGATGTTTGCAAGCTGCCCGAGGAGGGTGCTGGGATTTGAATTCTGAGCCCTCTCTCCAGTACTGAGTCCTTTTGTGAGTTCCCTACTGTTGACTTCAGTTTCCCTATCCTAATACATTTTTAGCATGTGAGATTTAAACACTTTCAAACAGGATTTAAACCCAGCACCTGCCCCAGTGGAGGAAAGAGGCAAGTTCTATATGTGCAGGAACACCCCTGGGTCAGCAAGGGGTGGCAGGCCTCTAAAGATCATCGGCCCCAGCTAAAGACAGGGACAGGCCACTGCCAAGGTTTGGCTCACAAGACTGTGTTGCAGATAGTTCTTCCTGCCAGTTTGGTCCCACACTGACATAAGACTGGTATGCTATTTTCAAATTCACATTTCTACAGGGGAAAAATTCCTTATGTGGATTCTCACTTTCCTATCCCCACAAGGTCAAAGGACACAGAGAGAGGTGAGCCACCCTGAGCTTCCTTCTCTAGGGTGACAGGAAAAACCGTCTGCCCAGGACCTGCACATGGAGTACAGTGGAACGAGGACTTCCAAGAGGACATAAGGAACCGCCAGCCAGTCATGACCAGTAAATGTGGCACCTCGTCTACGGCTTCTTGAATGCCACACCCGCCACTAAGATGAGCCACTGGAGAAGGCCTTAGAGATAATCCTGTCATTTCCCTAAGCCACATCCCTGGCTCTGCAAAAATGAAAACTGCTGTGCCAGTTGGGCAGAACAGCTTTACGAAAGCTGAGGATGGTCTCCTGTTGATCACAGAATGACAAAGCCAAGCCACTCTGGTGGAGTCTGTAGAATGCTCAGAGCAGGAAGCAGAAGGGAGACCAACGTGGCAGCAGCTGGAGAGGTCCTGAGCCAGGTCAGAGTCCACTGGCTCTGGGCACAGCTTTCCAACCATTTGCTCCCAGGCTCATTGTGAGAAACTGAACCCAGTTACAACTCTCCCACAGATCAGACTCCAAGGAAAACAGGAGTCTCCTCCAAGGTCACACAGGCCTACATTGCCATGTCACACAAGGAAGCATCAGCTTGGAGATTTTGTCTCAAATAAGGATCAAATTACCATTTTTTTTAAAACAAAGATGCCCAGAGCATTGATGGTGTTATCAAACACTGAAGCTCTGACACTGTTCTGAGTAGAACTGGGGCAAAGGGGGACATAAATAATCCACGGGTAACCATGCCTCTTCTAGAGAGGTCCTTGGTAACAGAAGATGACACTGTGCCTGGTAAGTGGAATGGATTCCTTTCCCTGGGTCCAACTCTACGTAAAAGATCAGCTTCCAAACCCAACTATCATATGTTGCACTGGGCTATACCATGTGAACACTGGGCATGGCCATGCCTATGATACCAGTGCATGGAGGTGGAGACAGGATGTAACTCTGGCTCTTTCTAGGGTCCCAACTACACTTACAGACAAAGCAAAAGACTTTATAAGGTAAAATGAACCTAGAAGGAGTCCAGTCTACACAGAGCAACCCAGTCTCAAAGTCAGGTGAAAATGATGAAACCCAGGCCCCTTGGTCTGAAGAATAGCAAAGGCAGAAAGAGGACCCGGGGTGAAGGGTGCTGTCTGCCAGGACGGTCCTCTCTGGGAGGTAAAGGAGTGCGCAAGCCCAGGTGAGGGAAGCAGCTCCCTGCTGCTGATGCCCTTGCCCTCAGTGTGTTGTAGAGCCCCTGGCAGAGAGCCACGGTGGAAGCCAGGAGAATGATGGGAAAAGATCATTCTGGAGGAGGGGAAGGAGCAAAGAAGGGCCTCAAATAGCCTACTTTATTATTTTTAAATTTTTGAGATGTTTGCCTGCATGTATCTATGTGTACTGCATGCAGAAGCCAGAAGAGGAGCTATTAACAGCACCAGCTGCTCCTCCTGAGTGCCCAGGTTCAATTCCCAGCACCACACAACAGGTTCCAACTGTCTGTATCTCCAGTCCCAGGGGATCTGACGTTCTCTTCTGGTCTCCACAGGCACTAGGTGTGCACACAATGTACAAACACACACACTGACAAAACACCTATACACATAAAAAAATTAAATAATAAACTTGGTCCAGGACATGCAAGGCTATATATATATATATGTATATGTATATGTATATGTATGTATGTGTGTGTGTGTGTATATATATATATATCATAAGACTTTGCTTCAATAAATAAATAGATTTTTAAAGTTTAACATTTACTGTGTGAATATGCTTGTCATAGTGCATGTCTGAAAGGCAGAGGCTATCCTTCAGGAGTTCGTTCTCTCCTTTTACCAAGGTCAGGCATAACGGCAGAAGCCTTTATTTGCTGAACGGATCTCCCCAGTGGCAGCCTACCTTATTCAACAGTAATAACCTGTGTAGGAAACAAGGCAGACAAAAAGGACAGGGTATGTGTGAAAGGACAATTACACCTGAAGGTTTGCTCCTGTGACATTCGGAGGCAGCCAGAGCCAGGTATGGTGGCTTATGCCTGAAATTCTAGCACTTGAGAGGCAGAGGCTGGAGGTTTACCAAAAGTTAGATGTCAGCCTAGACCACATAGTGAATTCCAGGACAACCTGGGCTACAGAGACCCTAAATTAGAAAATAAAACAAAAACAATGAACTGGAGAGAAGGATCAATGGGTAAACTGAGGACCTGAGTTTCAATCCCTAGCACCCAAGTAAAAGCTATGCACAGTGATACAAGCCTATACCCCAGTCCTGGAGATGGCCAGGTCCCAGGGGTTTGACGGTGCTTGCTGGTCTGCTAGCCCAGCTGAAATGATGAACTCCAGATCTGGTAAATGACCTGCCCCCCCAC